CTTGCGAACGTTCGCCACTCGAACGAACTGGACCGGCACTGATGGACCGATCTACCCGCGACCACCACCACAAGCACACTGTCAAGCGAGACGCCCGCGAGCGCGCGTATGTAGAAAAGCGCGCGCCGGCGCAGGCAGGCCGCCGGCGCGCCGCGCAGTCAGCCCATGTGCCAGCCAGCCAATCAGCGCGCGAGCACGGCGGCGGCAGGGCGGCGGCAGCGCTCGCCGCCGCGGACGCCATGGCGGACGCCACAGACCGAGCTGGCGGCGAGGATGGCGTCCGGAAATGCCACCGCAAACTATCTCCATCCTTGTTGCCGAAGATTGTTGCTCCGTCAACGGGAAGGTGGCGGCGGCCACGTCGGAGGCGACCCGAGAGCTCCACGGAGCACGCGCCGGCCGGCATGCTGCCTGCAGCCAGCATCAGCCTCTCGGTGACCTGCCGCACGCCCCGCACTCGCGGCCGGCCGCCGCACGCACGCACCCTTGCCGTGGCCGCGGCCGCCCGCCCGCCGCCCCCGGGGGAAGCGCTTGGCTCTTTTCATCTGTCTGTCGGTCGTTGCCTCGGGCCCTGCATGGACACTGTCCGCGTGTACCTCTCTGAGTCACCAGCACCAGCACCGCCGAGCACCGCGCGCCGTCAACGGCACCTTTGGGCGTGGAACGCTGCGTGTGGCTGTCGCGGCGCGAAAGGCGCGGGAAACGGCCAGGCCCTGGCCTGGGCCGGCTTCCGCTTCGGCGACCCCCCTCCGGGTTTTTCCGCTGCGCAGTGGGGGCCCGTGTCGCCGGCCCGCCAGGGGAACTGGGGTTGACAGCTCTACCCTGCCATGCCTATGCCTAGCCATGCCTAGCTTGGATTTGTTTTGAAACTTGACATCCCCGCTGTCGGCCGCAGTACTACCCGCAGCGCTTCCCGCGGCGATAGTTTTTCTGCTGATTCCGCTTTCGCAACGCGTCGGCGCTGGCGGTGCGTAAGTGGTCGGCCAGCACGCCGAGCCTTCCGCCCCGCCGCGCCGCCGAGCAGGGCCAAAGCAGGGCCAAGCAGGGGGCGGTGCGTGTGCGCGGGTCCGCGTGTCCGCCGGTCCCGACGAGGGTGCAGACGGGACGCCCAGTTCCCCCGGTTGCCGCCCGGTCCGCCACGCCACGCCTTACTGGGATTCGCTGGTGAAGCAACGAGGGCCAAATCGCGATGCGCCCCCGCCCCGCCCCGCCCCGCCCCGCCCCGCCCCGCTTGGCCTCCGCCTTCGCCTTGCCATTTCGATAAGCCCGGGCAGCCCCGTGAACGGCGACTGATACCCGGCCGGCGTGGACATGGTAGCGACATGGCCATCTCCTGATAGCTCTGCCCCGCCCCCGCCCCCGTCTGTGCCTCGTTGTCGTCGTCGTCGTCAGACGTCGTCAGCACGGCGGCCCAAACATCCGAAGGATGATGGGAAGGGAACTATCCATTCTGACTCGCCACACCGCAGCCGGCAGCCGCAGCGAACGGAAGATTTCACTTTTCATTTTCGCAGAATCAGGAAAGCACATGAAATGAAAATACAATAGCAGCGACGTTACGACGCTTGGGAAAATACAGCATGCTCTGTCGAAAACCGGGAATGACTCTGACTCATCTCGATTGGACTTAGGAAATGTAAATGTTCAATGCAACGTTCTCCAAACTGAGCGTTTTCCGCGCAGTGCACTACATTTTGAAAGGACAGTGCTCGCCAGGCAGTGTAACGGAAGTGCCTTCCTGCTCGTCAAAAAGAGCCGCCCAGTAAGGGGCTCGAACCCTCGACCTTAGGATTAAAAGTCCCACGCTCTACCGACTGAGCTAACTGGGCTCCTGCGACCAGAAGGCGCGCGGAGCGCATCCCCCACTACCAGTCGCCTGGCTCGTGCGCCGTTGCGCGCCGCCAGGATTCGGCGCGTGCGGCTCGCCACGGCCCGGTCTGCCTCAGCCGCGAGGAGAGGAAGGGGGAGGGGGCGCCGCCACCGCCGCGCTGCTTGGCGTCTGGCGCGAAGTGCGCCCGCGCCCGTGGTCCTCCCTCGGCACCGTGACCCTGGTGTACGGTCGCGTCCAAGGGATCCTCAGAGCAACAGGACGGCGTCGTTCAGGACTTTCTCCGCTCCCAGCCTCACTCAATCCCGTATCCCCGTGCCCTGGCGCCCTGGCCCTGGCGCCCTGGCCCGGGGCCCCCACGGCTCGGCCAGAGTGCGACAACAGCGACGCCCTGCAGGTCTGCTGGCCCGCCCTGGTTACAAGGACATCCTCGGCCTCGGGGCTCAGCGTCCAAGTAAACCCTCGCCGTTCGGCCCCGGCCCTGTCGCCAACCGAATGGAGTGAGGCCAACTACAAACCGCGTGGCCGCGTGGCCGTGCACCTGTACAGACTCTTTGCGATTAAGTGATGCGAGTTGGAGGCATTCACTGCGGCGCTATCTCCCTGGCCATCCCCGAGGGCGGGGAGGGCGCCCGCGCCCCACCGCGCCGCCACCGTTAGCAACACTGACCCCTCCACGGCGGCCTCGGTGCGGTCATGGTGCGGTACTACTGGCACGGCGGGCACGGCCTGCACCATGCCGGCACGGCGGCACGGCGCGTATCAGGGAGACGGGGCGTGGAACCCGAGTGGCCGGCCCCGCCCCGCCGGGCCCGGCCGGCCCAGACGGCACGGCCTCTCAAGTGTACGAGTCACGCAGTGACCGGCCGGCCGATGGTGTAGTACGTCCTACAGGGCCTGTGCACGCCGCAGCCGCCGAGCTGAGAGGTGCCGTGTCGGTCGGGCAGCAGCTCGTCGACACCAAATGACCTGAACACGCATCGAGTCGCACAGCGGCCCCCTTCGGGGTCGCAGCCACTCTGGGGCTGGGAGTGGCGGCCAGCCAGGCCACGACGCGACGCGGCGACGCGCAGGCGCGATGACGGGACGCCAAGGTTGGGGTTGGTTGGGCGAATGGCTGGCCAATTCATGCGAGAATCATGCGGCACCGTCAACACCGGGAGGAAGCCCAAGGAAGCCCCTGGAGGCCGCGTCCCCTCCACCTCATCACCGCCATCAACCTCGTCGTGCTGGCCGGCCCGCGGCGGCCGGACCCTTCCTGTCCTGTGCTCGGGGCGGTCCCGGCGGGTCCTGGCCGCGCACGCATACTCTCTCGAGGCCTCCTTTTCAGCCACGGTCAAGGCCGTCACCATGGAAACGGATGCTGAGGCCGAGGCTGAGGCCCGAGGGGTTGTCAATGTCCGCCAAGCCATTCAAACTCGAGGTCCATTGTGCGATGAGGCGGCTGAGGCTAGGCTGGGGTTTTCGGATATGTTCCCGCTCGGCCGGCGGGCTGCGGACTTCCCTGTCCTAACCCCGACGCTAAAGGTTTGTTTGAGACCTGACTGCGCTGGTGCTGATGATGGCATCACCTTTTACCGTGACAGTTACCTTTTACCTTTCGAAGCCACCGACGAAGACAACCTGCCCGCCGTGCGGACGGCCTACCCCGCCAGGCGGTCTATCGCTGGCGGCGCCATGCCAACCTTCCACGTATCTCCATCTTCATTTCCTCCTGTGCGCGCCCCGCCGCACAGCCATCCAGCACACCGTAGCATGTGTTGTTAGGGGAAAATTTCACAGAATGCTGTGAAACTATGAAGCTAACCAACCAGTTTGCCGTTTTTTGGGCCGGGGCGCTCGGCACTCGCAGGCGGCAGGTTCCCCGCCGGTAATAGGATGCGCGAGCCGCGAGCCGCGCACGCGTCCCGCCAAAAAGCTCAAAAAGCGCGGCGGCGCGGCGTCCTTGCCAAGGGCGGGCCAAGGGCGCTGCGAGTGCGGAAGTGAGACCTTGGTCCGGCCTTGGCGGCCGTGAGACGAGACACCGTGAGTTCACCTTCACGCCTCACCCGTCCAGCCCATCCCTGCCTGCCCTCGGCCCGCGGCCCGCCCGGCTACGCCTTCCGAGCAGGCAACCGCGCTCTCTGTCCGCGAGTCTTCAAGTGGTTCCCACACTGTTTGGCTTTGGGACCCGGCAGGCGGCACGGGAGGCACGCTGCAGGACGCGGGCCCAGTCGCTTCGTCGCTGTCTCTCGCGAGCCGAGCTACGAGTGCGAGAGAGACAGAGTGACGCCAGCGTAGGTCGGCGATGGGCGGAATCGGTCTGCAAGTGCATGGCGTAGTCGGTGACGTCCACGGCCGGCGGGGAGCTAGAGCCATGGTGGCAGGGCGACACTGTGTTTCGTCGCTCTGTCTCTGTCACACCTACACGGGACGCCCAATGAGTGCGACAAAGACAGAGCGACGAAAGCGGTGTGGCGGTGTACCGAACCGCTCTGCAGGGCCACGCCACGCGCGTCGCCTCGTATCGGCGAGCGCGTCGCGTCGATGTCAATCCAGGTCGGCTGCCTGTTCGCTGGCGATGCGACTCGCCCCGATGCGACGCGCCCCGTTCGGCCTGGCGGCCTGGCCCACCCTCTGGCCGCGAGCGCAATCTAGAGGCGATTGGAACGGCGTTACGTGAACGCGAGACAAGGGCAGACCTCGCGGATCGCGGCGGGTCGCGGCGGGGGGTGGGGGAAGGGGACGACGAGGGCGAGGGCGGTCCTATCTTGCAGCGAGTCACACCGCGTCGGCATCGGATTTCGGTTGATTCCGGAGACGATTTCGCTTTTGCGTGTCAAATCGTCAATTGGCGTTTTTGAATGACACAGCCGGAGCATGGCGAACTTGTTGACGCGTTCCGTGTCGCTGTAGTTGTCGTTCCCCGCCACGCCACGCCACGGAAGAAGGGCAACAGCCGAAAGGGCTAGCCCTGCCGGGCCGCGAAAGGGCCCTCCAAAGGTCTCGCAGGGAGGGCTGGAGGGCCCGCTGGAGGGCCCCCTGGAAGGGCGGGGGTGGGGGCTGGGGTGGGCGCCTCCTAACCTCAAAGGGGTGACAGCGCGCTCTGCCCCGCCCTCTCCGCGCCCGGGGCGTCCCGGACAGGCCGTGCCGCGGCGCGGCTGCCGTCGTGGAGGGCGCCCGGTGCACTTACCGCATCGCTTGGCAGGTGTCACGGGGTCCTCGTCGGTCCACAGCGCCGAGGAGCTCCTCTTCCTCGACCACATGACGGGCTGTGCCGCCATCGCCCTGCCGGTGACTGTCCGGCCCCCACCCCCGCCACACCCAGGGCTGCCACCCTTGGCCACCGCCTGGCCACCCCGGCCGCGCGCCGTGGAGTCCCGGAGGCCCGGGGGGTGAGGCAAGCAGGCAGGCCGGGGTCCACGTCGGCACCCTGCGACGGGGCGCCGCCGGCGTCTGGACTGCCGAGTTGGGCCAACCGGGATGGGGATGGCTCCAGCGCCGTCCACCGGGCGCAGGGGTTGGTACCGCGAGTGGCGTGATCCGGGACTGCCTCACTGGTCAGACTATGCGGCTTCCTTCCACCCCCACGGCGGATCAATACCACACTCGCCATGCCGCGTGGCGCATGGCCCGCGTGGCCCATGGCACACCTCAGTGGAAAGGCCAAGCGGTGCGATGGACGTCTTTTTGCCAACTTGGTGGCCCCTGCTTTGAACGCGGTCCTCGTGTCCGAGATCCCCGCGGCCTCGCCACGGCCTCGCCACGGCCTCCCCCAGGGCAACGCACCCTGCCGCGGCGGGGGAAGTCCAACCTGTCCTCGCGGTGTGGCGGTGCAGGCGGTCCAGGCGTCCAGGGCGCAGCGCTGCAGTCCCAATCTGTCGAAACCTGACCTTGTTCTCGCTCTGCGCACGTCCCTCGTCTTTCTTCTTGGTGCGCACTTCATTATTTTCCTCCCTTATCTTGTTTACACTTGCTCCGCATTTTTAAAACATTTTGATTGTTCGAACAAGCTCCGTCATAGAAGGACGTCCCCGGCGGCCGGTTGAAAAATATTCCACACTCTATCGGTTGGAACATCTCACATGCGCCCTACGCCTCACACGGTGACGTCCGCCGTCAAGAAGTGATAGCCTTTGGCGTTGCGCCGCGGCCGCTGCGGTCGTTGCGGCTGGGCCGGGCTGGGCGACGACGGCGTTCGTCCCACGCAAAAACTGCGTACTGCGTGTTAACCTGCTGAATTAAGCAGCCCTTTCTTGAAGCCTGTGCGCGCTGCGCCCGTTTTTCGGCTCGCAACTCAACTCGCGTATAGGCGCGCGCGCGCACACACACACACACACACGCACGCACCGGCGGACCTCTCTGCGCGGCAAGAAGTGCTTCCGCGGCGCTCCCACGGCAATGCAGAGTGGCTCCACCGGGAGGGGAGGGGGCCGAGAGGGCGGAGTAAAGTTTTCCAGAGACACTCGATGGCGAGGGCGGCCTAAGGCGTGACCCCTTCCTCGCCGAGGCTCCCGGAGCAAGGCTGGCGGCCAGGGGACAGGGCGACGAGGCCGACGAGGTTACGGACGTAACGGCCGGTGGCGGCGCCAGTGCGCCAGCCGTGTGCATACACTGTACTCCCGATTGGCGGTTCCAATTATTATGTAAGTAATCTCATCTGGTCCGTTTCCTCCCCGTCCCCGGGCCGCCCCGCCCCGCCCCGGCAGGGGGTCACCAAGCGGAGCACGACCAAGCACGGCGCAGGGCGGAGGGGAGTCGAGGCGCACCACGGCGCGCTGACAGTGTGGGGAGTGCAAGCGACAGCGGCAAGGGCGTGCGGGCCCGGTGCACTGTAAGTGCCGTGGATAGTGTAACCACCAGCAACGACCAACTAAGACCCCCACCCAAGCACACTGACTCCTCTCTCTAGTCTCCGCCGCCCTCCTTGGCTTTCCTTTCGTCACCCGGCGCGCTATCGCCTATCACTTATTTTCGCCGTTCTTCTCGGCCGTCTCGGCTCGACACCCCGGACACCCCCTCCCCCTCTCCGCGCCACTTATCGCCGGGACAGAGCTTCTGCAATATGTAAGCGCCTAGATCGATGCGGCGCAGTAAGGTAGCGAACTTCGACTGGCGAAGCTTCCGAACGAGAACGGCCCAGTTGCTGGCAGAGGCGGTGCAGGCGGCGCTCGGGCACAAGGCTTGGCACAAGGGCCGGCCTGAAGCTAGGGGAGGGAGAGATGCCCGTCCTATCCGCATGTCGGTAGCATGACGGAGTCGGACCAGCGAAGGACTAGCCAGCCCGACTAGGCCCGGATCCGTAAAATGTGGCGAACGCCAGGACAGAGGGAGACGGAGACTGACTGGCAGACACGATAAAGGCGGGGCGGGGTGGGCCATCCCCACCACCACCCCTTTCTCTTTCTCTCTTTTTCTGAGGAACTTCCACGCCCCGGACGGCACCGCTAAGCACCGACACTGCGTTGTTGATAAACAGCACACGTTGGGGCCACGTGGTAGGCGGCACGGCCAGGGCCCCACGGCCGCGGCGTGGAGGCTGCGTGGCCGGCCAGTCTCTCTCGCACCCCCAGGGCCCGCCAAGGGGCCCGCAGGGAACGCCCCATGAGTGCGCGAGAGACTGTCGGGAGGCAGCATGCAGGCCGGTGAGGTGAGGCGGCGTGCTCGCGGCCCAGACTCTCCCCTGGCTGGACTTCCCTGCCGCTCCTCCGCGGGCCCAGCGCGCGGAGTATCGCCGCGTGGCGGAGTCGCGACGGGCCGGGACGCCGCCGCCTCGCCCGCAGTGCAGACACCGCCAGGACGGCCAGGACGCGGAGGGAAGCCCCAGAGGCTGCAGCAGCCCGGCCGCCGCCAGCCCGTCCTTGTTTCGGCTGCGAGCGAAGCCCGAGCCGTGCGGCACTCTGCGCTAACTGCGCTGCACCGAGCCCTGGCTGGCCTGGCTTGCGGCTCGGGAACGCGGCGCGCAGCTACGCGCACGACGCGCACGGAGCGGCTAGGCCGGGCTAGGCGTCCTGCATCTGCCTCTCGCTCACGCGGTGCAGTGTCATCACGAAGAGCGCCGTGGGCAGCGAGTGCAGAGCGCGGCCGCGGTGCGGTCAGAGTCGCCGGACAGGCAAATTTGCAAAACGAAAAAGTCGACTATTGCATACTCAGCGTTTTCTTATCATCCTATTTTATTTACTTAAAAAGTTGAAAGACATCCAATGGCAGGAGAGTATTCATTTTTACAGTAAGATTAAAATACCCTGTTGTGTGATGTACAAACCTGTCACTTGTAATAAGTTTGTGAGGTACTTGGAATTGGTAGACATTTGACACAATTCAAATTTACAGAATATAATACTTGCAATGACCCATTGTCAATTGGTAACCAACAAATAATGATAGTTATTGTAAAAAAATAAAACAAATGCTGAGGCACATGGAACATAAGGCATAAGGTACAGTAAAAATATTAATAGTACATATAAATATGTTTGTGTTGAAAGTGTACATTACAAACTTTCAGAGGTCACAATACCTCACCACATTTAACGTACAACACTGGATCTTACTGATATGGATAAAAAAAATAAAAAATAAAGATGACTAGAGTCAATTTGTTGCACAAAGCCTAACACAAGTATACCGCTTACAACTAGACACTCCTCACCTGGAATGTGAAAAGGCCAATAGAGGAAGGACAAAGTCCACCTATAGTATTTCTAGAATAAGGAAGACCACAGCTCTACTTCCCATTGTTATCAGAAGTTTTTCGAGACATATTTTCAAGGTGGATTCCCATTGGTCCCAATAGATTTGATGCAGGACCAGCTGCACCCATTTGAGACTGAAATGATTCCAGAATATTCTTTAAAGCATTAAGGTCAATGTCAACCGGCTGGAAATCTTCAACATCCTCAAACAAATCTTCATCTTGAGATGTTCCTGGTTTTATCTGGATATAAAACAAATGAGGGCTCTTTAAAAATGTTAAGGGAGACAAAAAAAGGAAAACATGAAGGTAATTATTACTCTGACTACCTTCTTTTCTGGTTTAGCTTTTGGTTCCTTTTTCTCAAAGCTCTGCGCTATAGTTGTGTTGGCCAATTCACGATCCATTTGATCCATGTACTGTTTCAGTTCAGCATCAGGTGGTTGTTTCTTACCTGGAGAGGTGTTACAAGAGAGGTTGACTTTGAAGCTAACAGCAACAATGTTAAAAGTAAAATAAAATTGGGTTTGAAAAATTTATTGCAATACCTGGCTTCACTTCATCCAGATCCAATTCACCATCATCCTCATATGAACCAATATCTGAGTCTTCAGAACCAGAATTCAAGTCCCAGGAGTCCTCAGGTATGACAAAGTCTGAAATACAAAATAAAAATGGAATATAAATATCAATGATGCAGAGCAAATCAAGTTACAAGTCACAAAAGCATCAATGTTTCACCTAATATATTCTGAACTGCACAGGAAAATCCTTCTGGGTCAAAGTTTAGTCGATTGTCACTTGCAGCCATTTCAGAATCTTCACTGTTTTTCCCAGACTTTTTCCTGGTTCCTGAAAATATGGGGTTGTTGGCAGAAGTCTTGGAAGTGCCTTGTCTGAAAAAAAAAAAGATAATTCTTTGCTTTGAATACAATAACATATGAGAGAGAAAAAAAGAAGACACAATAATGAAACTTAAAACTTCACGAGAGATCCGAAATAAACACTCACTTCGGAAACTCAGCTCCATCTACTCCTGACATGCAGTCCATAAAGTTTCCAAGAGCTGTTGCTAACCCTGTTTTGTCGGGTACTTCACTTTTTTTCAATTTGTCTGTGATAGACCCATATCTTTCTTTCAACATTTTGTCTACTTCCTCTGGACCAATTTCAAGCCATGAGTCATCTGCAAGCCATTGAAATGTACTGTAAAAATGAGTCTTCATCTCTTAAGGTTTAGGTACAATTCTTAAAATAATTCTTACCATCATTCTGTGGAAGATTTTTAGATTCTTCTTTCATGGCCTCTAAGTCCAAGGTGAGTGAGTGCAATCGAGACAAAATTTCACTTCCAGCTGAAGAATCTGGCATGATTTTAGAAGTGGATGCGCAATTGTTGATATAAAATTCTTTGGCTTGTTCAAGAAGAGCGTTGTACTCCTTAGAACCTTCTAAAAGACCCTAATATTTTTTTTCAAAGAAAGAAAATGATAAATTTATTCAAAATAAAGTAAGATAAGATAACTACGACTGTGTAACAAACCTTGAAATATTCTTTCTTCCTGAGGCTGGATAGATACAAAGACCACCCTCTACTCTCAGCCAAGTCTTTAATTTCTACAGATGGGGTATTTCCAGTACTGTCACTACAATTTCCAGATGTTTTAGCACGATCAACCAAAATTTCAAATCCACACGCCTGAAAAAAGGAAAAAAAACCTCTTCAGAAAAAAGTTGGTAAGAGATTTCAAAATAAAAAGAGAAAAAGAAAACAAATTTATTTTACCACTTTGTATCCCAAATTATACATCTTAAAAGTGGGGGAGTTTGGAGGAGGTAACTGCCAGCCGGATCGTTTTTCTGGAATGCTCTTTTCATGACAAAGCATTGCATACAGACAGCGGGTAAACACTACACTGGACATAACACAGTTTTCGGGTCGGAAATGTGTCATGTTGCGACATGCCTGTAAGAATACAAGTTAGCATTTATTTTATTTCAGGAATACTGAACAACAAGCATGGTACAATTCTGAAAAGAACTTGCCCTCTTATCAATTGGATCACGCTCACAAAATGCACGAACAGCAGGTGCAATTAAACTTGGATTGTGTTTGAGTAGGACAGATATTTCGGCAGGAAGAGACAATGTCGTTCTATGTAGATTCTCTTTAATTTTGTTGGGGTAACTGAAACCGGAAAGTTATAACAAATTATTAAGAAAATAACAATGGCATATAGCACGGTACTCAGCAAAGTATCTGCATTACGAAGTTGCCTCACCCTTCGATTCGAGCAGAGATAGCATCTTGAATAGGCTGAGGGGCAAGGGTCTGCTGAGGTGATGACCTGATGAGCTGAATAGCACTGGAAATGGCAACCACTTTGGGTGAATCATTCATTTTCAGATCGTTGTATGGAATCAAGTGAACCTCTCCTTGATACAAGTAAACCTGTCCAAGAAAAAACATATTCTTTAGAAGAAACACTGATTAGAATGAGCAAAGAGTGAGTCTGGTTACTCACCCTTTGGCCACATGTTTCTGGGTCGGCCCATGGAGGCAAGTAGTCAGCCGCCTCAATGAGGAGAAACTCTCCATCAGAATCAATAACTCTGAAATAAGTCAAAAGATACCATGTGGATAATCATACAAGGTTCATGATAAAGGGAACATCAAAGCAAATCTTACCTACCGTACAACCAGGCCCTCGACATCTTTAGTTAATTGTAACAGGAGGTAAACAATGAACCATTCATCCTCAATGTTATCCCCAAAGTGAGTTGTACCATGAAGGTGTGGCGGCAACAACCCTGCAAAGAGCACAATAATGCTATTTCAACAGCAGTAATTTTAATTCATGTTTTCATGTTCAACATGAGAAAAATGTGACAAGTTCATGGTTAGGCGCACCAATGAACAAGCTGTCATGAAGGCTAACACCTCAAGCAGATATGCATGTGAGACTAGGAAAATGACAGAGAGTAAGGATTAGTTTTTATGGAAATAAAAACAATTGTTCGTACCAGTTTCATCCTCAAGGATAGGCGCAATGTTAAAAGGGTCTTTATGCCATATATATTCACGCTTGTGTTCGGAGGAGCAACAACTTATGAGAGAAAATACGTTTCTCAAGGAATCTTCCACCTCTTCCTTTGAAGACAGTTCTTCCAATCCCTGAGGAAAAAGAAAATACTCGACGAAATCGTCAACCTGAACATCTTCAAGTGCGCTAGCCATTTTCAAGCAACCTAAGCCTACACTAGCCTACACAACCTACAAAACAAACAACAAGACAACCAACGCACACCGCAATCGCAATAGCAATCCAATGACCTCCTCCCCCCCCCCCCAAAAAAAAAAAAATCACCGCACCCCTCGTCTGCTGCTTCTGCTGCCCGACTAACCTTAACACCTGTACTTGACAGTCTCCAAATATCAGAAGTTTGTCTTGAATTTTCTGTGAAAAAAAGATGAGTCCAAGTGGCTCTTAAAGGAGACTGAATCAGATTTCTGTTTGGCGAGCGTTTCTTCTCCGTTTTAAGATGGAACCGGACGACATCGCTGCTTTGGAGAACTCCAATACCCAAAATGCAGAAATCGTTAGTATTTTGGGGAGTTTTCAGAAGAGGGTGAGTAAAACTAACGGGAAAGGATCACTTTGTGACCTCAATCTCACTTATGGCCAGTTTATATATGAGTTCGGTTTTCTGTTTTATTAATCAGTTCACCCTAACCTGAATAAAATGATTTTTGTCTAAATCAAATTTGTATTTTTATGTTCCTCCAGAATTTGAGTATGTTTTCTTTTCCTGAACTGGACCGAAACAGTTCTAGAGCTCGTCTTTGGAAATGTCTCATGCAACTCTTGAGTACACCTCTACCTGAGCAGCTATTGAAAGAAATTCTTGGGTGTTTACGGATCCTTGGTCGTGACAAGAAGGGATTGGATGATATTATTTGCGTTCAGCACATTGATCTACTCCTAAAGCATGCAGGAATAGTCAGTCAAGAGGAAGCTATTAAACTTATTAATGAAAAGGAGAATTTTGAAGGTATTTATGTTCGGAAGCAAATTTGAAATTACTTTGAAATCTGTGTTCTATCTTAAAGATTCTGATTTTACTTCTGTTTTCAGTCAATCTAGAGGCCTTGAAGTGCTTAAGCAACATTGTCTTTAACTCACCAAAAGCACAGAAAATATGCGGTACAAACAACACCATGGAGGGGATTCTCAACCGCTTGCGTACATATAGAGATCGTTCTTTCCCAGATGAACTCAAGTATTTTGATATGAAAATGTTGTTTTTGGTGACAGCTTTGCACCAGGACAGCCGGTGTGTATTCTTCCAATAATTTACTGAAGTGTCACAGTTTTTAGGTTTTTAATTTGGTTTTAACAGACCATCTCTTTTGGAACAGGGCTCAGTTGAAGGAGGAGCTTCATGGAATGACATACCTGATGGAGTTGATTGACTATGAAATGAGTCAAGCTGTGGGTGATCCTGATTATCAGGGTGCGGTTGGTGGCTTGCATGCTCCTCTGAACATAACAAATGAACAGGTATAAATTTTCTCTGTATCTCACTCTCCTTCTTATTTTTATTGCCTTGTCTATTTGTGTCGTTTATTTGCTATTATTGCTTGCCTTGCTAATGCAGTATCTTCCTTGTCCATAGGGTCAACTACTGTGTGAAGTACTTAAAGTTCTCTTCAATATTTGCTGCAAAGACAAGGGACTTCACCTTGATGAGGAAGCAGAAGCTCATGGCCAACGGTTGGTCTGTATCTTACGAGATCTTCTACTTGCATCCACAAGTACTCCAGAAAAGCGGCTTGATCTTCAAAAGTAAGTTTCCTGCATCCGTTTTAGCCATTGTTTATTATAACTTTATAACTGTCTATTTTATTTTTGTGTTAATTTAGTCACACAGTGAATATGCTAACAGCAGTACCAGCTCCATGCCTCTCATTTCTTGTGGCTCCACTTCCTGAGAAAGACAATGGCAATGGTGTTGTTGAATTTGAGGGAAGTAACATGGAAGCTGTTGCAGTTTTATTGCACATTTTACAAAATAAACTTGATGGTGCCGAAGAAGAGGTAAGAGAAAAAGCAGGTTGGGGAGGGTTGGGGGATGTTCTTTTTTCTCCCCACACTACATTAAGCTGATTCTTTATTTCTGTTTTCAGACTTCCACTCAAACAGAATGCTTGGCCCCCATTTTGACAGTTCTCATTGAGTGTGCTCGGAATCACCGCATTTTGCGCAAGTTCCTTCGTCTTCAAATTTTGCCTCCACTAAAGGATACCCATCGGCGTCCTGAAGAAGGCAATACAATTCGGAACCGTTTGTGCAAATTTCTAACATCTCCATACACTCAGATCAAGGATTTAGTGGCTGAGCTACTTTTTATTTTGTGCAAAGAAAATGGTTAGCTGACATCCATTTTAGTATCCTTGCACCTTCGGCCACTTGACAAAATGTACATTGCTAAACGAATATTCTGTTTTAGTTGGACGCATGATCAAGTACACTGGATACGGTAATGCTGCGGGCCTCTTGGCTAATAGAGGTCTCTTAGCTGGACGCCGCGATGACGACGAGGGCCCCAATTACTCATCTGAAAGTGAGGATAGCGATACAGAGGAATACAAGAAATATCGACATGAGTAAGTTGGCATCTCCTCTTGTACCTTAGGTCTTGTACAAAATTTCCATGATTGAATTTTTTATTGAATTTATTTATTCAAGTTGTAAATGCAATGAACAATAAATATTCTTGTAGAATGAACCCAGTAACTGGATGCTGGGAGCCACCCCGAGAAAATCCAATGGATGGAATGTCTGAAGAGCAGAAGGAATATGAAGCAGTTCAACTCGCTAACCTGATGGCAAAGCTTTCAAAGTAATAGGAACCTTCAGATTGATGATGGTTTTTATCTGTTTACTGTATTTGTAACTAGAAATATTTTATCTTATTTCAGTGAAGGAATTGTTCAGCCTTGCCGCATTGGTGAAGATGGTCGCCCACAGCCAGTGGATCATATCATGCAGCTGCAAGAGGAGCTCCCTAGGCAACAGGTTCGAGCCTCTCATCCCACAGAAGGTGATGAAGACGTATAATCTAGTCTACTGTGCATTCCATGCCACATTTCTTTTCCTCCTTGTGATACATTAAGTTATTGTGTGTTTTTGTGTTCAGTGTGAAGTAAGTCTTCTCGTTTTCACTAACGATTTTACAGACATTTATGTCTGATTAGTATCAATTTGTAAAATGAATTGTATAATCTGAACTGACAATTATAAGATTCATCATCATATAAGTCCCATTTGTGTCAACAATGGGAAAATGAACACCTTAATGGTTTCCTTAATTTTATATTTATTTATTATAAACAAGGAAATAATTAATGGTGTCACTCTTATATCTGTTTCTTTTTGAATGCATTCGTTGTGGTTTCTAGGACAACATTGGAGTCTGTATAAAGCAGACCTGTGTAGATCTTTCAGTACCTTAATAAATGATAGTCTTTTTCTTATCTAAAACCTGCCTCTTTGTATTTTTCCATGTTTTCAAATGTATCTATTTGTCATGTGTATTTTGAGTCTGTGCAATGTTTTCTCATAGTTACCATTGTATTTTAGGAAACATTTTTTACTTACCTACTTACATTAGACCATTTGAATGGTGGTTGTTTGTAGCCCAGAAATTTGGGTTCTAAGTGCACTACAGCGACTTAAATCTCTTAATCTCACCTCTCTGTGAATTAATAAAAAATGAGCAAACAGTTCCTTCAAACCAATTTTGTTTTGTCATTCTTATGAATTCCTTCTTAGATTGTCATTTTAAAACAACCACACTTATGATGCCAAATACACTTCTTGAAACAACGATAATCAAAGAAATTGAAGTTCACACCCAAGCATTTGATACATTTATTGTCATTTCTCGTATAATACTTATACAGACCATCTGTAACAATGCTTTAGAACAAAAAATAATAATTCAAGTTCTTATTCTTACCGTTCTTTTTATTCACAGCATTTTATATTCCTAATAAGATACTAATGAAGTTGTTCAATTTTTCTTAAGGAAAGCTTATTTCACACAATTTACAGTACTTAAAATTAATAAATATGTTTTTGTTGTACATTTAAAATTTGAAATAAACAACAGTCATGTGACCAGTAACTGTAATCCTGAAAAATGTTTGCTTCATGAACAAAACAACTGACTATCAGAATTGGATGCATTCATTAGGTATGAAAAGTAATATAAATCTTGACAAATAATGTACAGGGTGGCCCAAATGTCAAGTCACTAATTTAAGGGGAATGTTAGAACACAAGCATTCAACAGAATAAACCTGATATGAGGCCAGAAGAACTCCTAAACAGCGTAATCATTGAGGATTAACTCCATTAGCTCAGCACGACAAGGGAAGTCCCAAGAAAGTGCGCAAACATGTGTTGCCTACCTTTAATGAATATTAATGAAGGGGTCTCTGGTGACCAACCTCTAGTGTCCTTACCCTCGCCGTTCCCTACATTCCTCAAAATTAGTCATTTCAATTTTGGAACACAGTACCGGGTGTCTCAGTCACGTCGACGGAGCGTTCCGGGTTGGCCTCTCTATCTCAGCGCCTTGAGGGCTCCAGGCTCCTGGTCGCGTTTCGTGCAGACCTGCCACCTCGGATGGGCAAAACGCAGCACGGCGTCGTCCTGGCTGAGACGACCGGTATGAAATCAGACACACTTTCAGAAAGAAGACTACAACTTGGTCTTCCAAGAAAATTCATTGGGCACCTTGTTCTTCAGAGAGACACTTTGGGTACTCACTGCAAGTGAATGGAACAGCACCAACAATCATGCAGTTTGTACCACAAGACTGTACGTATCATTGTAAAGGAAAATAAAAATTGTAAATTTTCTTTTAAGCACTTATTAGGCCAAAATTTGCATATAAAGGTTGTTTAAAATCAGAATATCTCATTTTTTAATGCAATTCTCAGAAATCCATCACAATAAAATGTATATCACACCATTCCGCACCTGTGAACAGGCAAGGTTCTTACGCTCCACCTGAGATGATGCTAGCACAAGGTAACACATCTAAGAGCAAACCAGAGGCTATTTGTGTAACAGGGAACACAACTATGAAACGAGTACAATTGAAGATGTAACTACAAATCCAAGAAAGAAATCAGATAAATCCATCTGTTATATCTATGCAACATTGAGAAATAGACTTTTAAAAGAAAACAATGCAAGATGTTTAGTTGGTAGAAGCTAGCCAAAGAGCTCCCATCGTGAAGTATGAAATTTGCAGGATAAATGCCTACGAACAATGAAACACACTTGGAACCTGCAAACTGACAAATTATTAACACCAAAATGCAGAATGCAGAGTGAAGGTGAAGACTTTTAAGAGGACTGGCTGCTACTGTATATTTGACTGAGGTCAAATAACAAATGGACAAATGAGGAATGGATCCGAAGAAGAACAGTCGTAGTGACTCCACAACAAATATAATAGTAAAACAGTAACACACCTTGTTACCTGTAGTTAAATAAATTATATCATACCATTATTGCCACAATCTGACCGATTGATGGCATTTCGATGACTGATTGAGAGATAATGGATTTAAGATTGAACAATGTTGATGCAGAGCAAATAAGATTAAGATAAAATACTTAAATGCCTCCCTCACTTGAGATTCGTTCCTGATCTTCTTTGGGTGTGCAGCCCTCCTTGGGAGACTGCTGTTGAGGCTGCTGCTGTGCCTGCTCTTTCTTCTCCTGTTGCTGGTCTTTCTCCTTCTGTTTTTGGTCTTCCTGTATTTTTGCGTCATCTTGCCGCTTGTCTGGCAGTTCTTGCTGCTTTGCTGACGGACCTTGCTCTTTGGGTTGTCGATCTTGCTGCTTTGCTGACTGGCCTTGCTCTTTGGGTTGTCGACCTTGCTGCTTTGCAGACTGAACTTGCTCTTTGGGTTGTCGATCTTGCTGCTTTGCTGACTGGCCTTGCTCTTTGGGTTGTCGATCTTGCTGCTTTGCAGACTGACCTTGCTCTTTGGGTTGTCGATCTTGCTGCTTTGGTGGCTTATCTGGTTTCTTTGGAGGCTGGTCTAGTTGCTGTGGCGGCTCGTCTTCCTCTTCCTGCTTGTGCTGGCCTTGCCCCCCGGCTGCCCCCGACGGCCCCGCTGCCCCGGCTTGCTGTTGCCGCTGCTGCTGCTGCTGCTGCTCGCGCTGCTCCATCTGCTTGACGCGCAGCACCACCTGGGCGTGCTCCTCCAGCAGCTTGGCGAACTCGTTCTTGCGACTCTCGGCCTCCACCTGCACGCAGAACAGCGGAGCACACGCATTAGCGGTACGGCATACGGCCTGGAGTGGGAAGCGACGAGGGCATCGCTCTGCCCCTCCCACACTCAGAGTGAGACAGCGACGAGTCGACCGGGCAGGGTAAGGAAGACCCGCTAAGGGTGAGCAAGCTCGGCCTACCTGGTACTGGCGGATGCGCTCAGAGCAGAGGTGCGCGTTCATCGGCCCCCAGCTGTTGCGCCTCTCGTGGGGCGCCCCCGTCACCCCGCAGAGGCAGGGTACAGTCTCCAGGGCGTCCTGGCCCTCCTCCACGTGGCAGCCGGCCGCGGACGTGGACGCCGTCGCGGCCATCTCCTCCTCGGGCAGCGACAGCGGCTCGCGGTCGCCGTCCACGTCGTCCACGACGATGCTGCAACACCGAGGCGGACACGGTGTGAGAGAAGGCCCTGCAATGCTGGCGGGTTTCGCAGCGTCGCACGGTGCGTCCTGGGGCCGCGTCCCACCCCACGCCACCCCACCCTGCCCCCACGGCGGGGAGAGAGAGAACACTCTTGGGAGTTCGTCCCTCCATGAGGTCGGCAGCAGTAATGATTGGGGAGGGGAGTGTGTCACACACTGTGGGACACACTGTAGGACACACTGTGCATGACGCACTGAGTGCCCTCAGCCAGCGTGCCAGCGACCCTCCCTCGGCAGAACAAGTCCGCCCTCGTGAGGATCTGGAGAGGGCGCGACCCACCAAAGCAGCGCTGCTAGCCGCATTGCCGCTGTGTTCCCGCTCCGGCACGCACTCTCTATCCCTGACGGAGCGCACACCAGCTTTACTCGGGCGCCGCGATTGAGAGATCGGGGGGCCAGTGGAGCAGTGCGGACCCTTGTCGCGGGCGGGGGTGGCGGGGGCGGCGGGGGCTCATTGGCTCATTAGCGGGGCGCTCTGCTGTGCTGCCTCTGGCTGCCGCGCAGCCCCACCGTGCTCATCCTTCCTCATCCCCCAGCGAGAGGCTTCCGCACCCCGGCACCACCACCACCACCACCCTCCCGAGTCTCGAGACAACACGCGTGCCGTTGTTGCCACGCAGCCGTACGCCAGACCAAGTCCCCCCCCGGCCGCTCTTTCGCCCCCAGACAAGCTTTGAAAGCACTCCCAGGCAATCACCGCCACCGCCGATGAAAGTTGTGACGAGACGACGGCCTTTCTGCGATTCGCCGCGGACTGCTTCAACGTCCGGACGCCTGCGAGACGGCGGGTAGGCAACCCTCGCCCCTCCAGGCACGCATGTGTAGCGGGACTGCCTAGCTGGCAGGCGCCATGGCTGCCCGGACGCCTGCGAGACGGCGAGTAGGCAACCCTCGCCCCTCCAGGCACGCATGTGTAGCGGGACTGCCTAGCTGGCCATTACCATTACCATTAAGGGCTGGACCACACATGATCGTATGCCGGCAACCCTCGCCCCTCCAGGCACGCATGTGTTGCGGGACGCCCTGTGTGTAATCACCCGAAAAGGGCTGGCCCTTTGAGCAGCTCCAATCCACGTGTTCATTTTATTAACTGCCAGCGACTAAAAACAAAACAAAAAAAACCTTTTCACTTTTAAAACGTAAAGCGCGTTGCGGCGCTACTGCAGAGTTCAAGTCTACATTTCTTACTGGTGGTCCCCATTTCCGTGGCTGAGCGTCTTTGATTGGGGCTTCAGCACATTTTGTCGCGTGGACTGCCAGAAATGTCGTGGGAGGAGGCGGGTCGTTGGACCCCTCAGTCCGCCTGCCTGCCTGTCTGCCTGTCTGCCTGCCTGCCCGTCCGCCCGCCAGACGGTCTCGCCGGGGCACTTCTTTGGCGCCTGATTGCCGGCAAAAGGCAAAAGGAGCACGTTCCGGCCAATTACTTGGCCTGACGTGGTGCGGAGCGTGCGGAGGCAACATGGATCGCCGAGAAAATGATTATCGACCTATCTCGAAAGGTTTCTTTGTCGTCTCTTTTTTCTATTTTCTTGCTTCCTATCAATGCTTTTCGTTTTCCCCCGAGGAACCCCCTTCCCCTCCCGCCGGAGTGCTCCTCGGCGGGAGCGACGTGGCTGACAAACTACACGACGCGTCCAATATGGAAGTTTGACGGCCAAAATGGCCCAAATGGCCGCCCGACTCAACGCCCGCTGCCTGGCTGTGCCTGGCCGGCCGGCGCGCCGCACCGCGCGGCTGGTCGCGCCTAGATAAGCAAACGATTTGAAAAGTCTTTGTTCCGCGCGCGGTGGAGATGCGGAGATGCGCCCGGGGAAAAGGGTGGGGGGGCATTGTGAACGCTAAATCCGTCCGAGTAGTTAGAGAGCCAGCCGACTGAGATGATCTGCTTTGGAGGGGAAAAAAGCGCGGGCGGAGGACACCGGGACTCGGGTGGAGAGCGGGCACCCACGGCCCCACTGCACTGGCTCACAGACCAAAGCCCATCGCTCTGCTCAATCCGTCCGAGAAGTCGGCAGTGGGCACTGTCCTGCGTTTCGTAAACAGATCCGCGTGGAGGCTTCAGCTCAACAGTGCCTCATCCGTTGCGTTCGGGCTAGTTCAAAGAGTGGAGATAGTTTTGCTTTCCCGTCTGCCACCAGTGATGTGCGTTGTTAGTCTGTCGATTCGCTATAGCGCCAGAGCCCTGCGGCCTTTAGCGGCTCGGTCCAGTAGGGAAACAAAAAACAAAACAAAACAAAAACAACAAAAATACGAAACAGAAAAGTTTGCCCCGCGCAGGCTCCAGCGCGGCTCCGGCAGCCAATTGCAGAAGTACGACGGTTCCCTCGATGGCTGAGAGAGCAACATTTTAAATTTTCCTCTGTCCGGTTCAAAATTCAAATGCTGGCGGACGGGGCTGCCGGGTGCCAGCGGCCGCCAGCTCGCGGGACTGATCCACCTCGCGTACTCGCCGCAAAGAGGGTCTGGCAGGCTTTCGGATGGAGTTTTCTCGAGTCTGGTCGTCGCTTCAGCGGCCGCCACGCTGCCTCTCAGACCATCGAGCCGCCCCTATTCCTACCCCTACCAGCGCCAGTCCGACGACAGTCGAAACGCCGCTCCGCCGCTCCGCCGCTCACTGCGATGGCTGCGCCGGCAGCAGTCGCAGCGTCCCAGCGGCACGCGCGTCGCGGGCAGCCTACCTCACAGGCGCTCCCCGTCCTTGAACTTGACCTTGAGAGGCTACACCACAAGGATCTTATGCCGTTTCGGGTCCGGTAAATGCCATGCTTGCACTGCACAACGTGGCAGACCGTCCGTTCGAAGAGTGGTACCACATGTCGGCGGCCGGAGCACTGGAGCCGCTCCGCGACAAGCCGCCTTCTTTGGTCCTGCGGTCGATCGGCCGCACAAAACCAGTGCGCTCAGTGGCGCGTGTAGACATTTTGAAAGGGTCAAGGCCGCTTTTTGCCTACCTGCAGGCGGGATGCAGTGCATGCAGCGCTGCGGTGGCGTCGGGCAGGGAACGGAAGTTTGGCGCGACGAACTACACTTCCACCCCGAACGGCCGCACGGCCGCACGGGCATCAAGTTTAAATGAGGGCGACTGGTTGGATGAGCGCAACGCGGCGCGACGCGATGGCATTGGCGGGGCGGCGCGGCACCGGGGCGAGAAGCACGACGTGCTGGCCCTCTTGCCTTGCCGCGTAAGTTGGGGAAGAAAAGTACGCGCCCAGAAAAGTAACCCCACTACGGCCCCTGCAGAGACCTCGACACCCATTGGACAGGGGATTTCACACTCAGATTCTCGCGTTTATCTCTAATAACTGGACGATGGATGGCTCGAAGTCGAGATAACAGCTCCGTAAAGGTGTGCTTTTCTTACCTCCCCCACCCCAAATTCCCCCTTCCCCCTACACTGGGAATCCACGATCCACGACGCCTCGGCTCGCCTCGGCTCGCCTCGGCTGGACGCGAACCGTGCCCTGTTCGCTCCAACATTGCAACCACATTCGTTTCAATGGGGCTCGCCGCGAGTGTGGAGCGAATGCAGTCGCAACGAACGTCACGTCATGTCCCGCGAGCACCCGCGAGTTCCAGTGAAGGGTCTGTAGGGTCGGCCCTCCATTAAGGTCGGACCCGCTTCGGGTCGGCCCTGCGCTTAGGGCCGGGCCCTCGGCCGGGCCCCGCGACTAATGGTCATTGACCGCGCTGAACGCCTCTTGTGTCGACTAGGACGCGACCGGCGGACCGGGGGACAGGCGGACAGACGGCAGGGACACTGCAAGCCCCCAATTTGGAGCGCGGCCGCGAGGCCAGCACGACGGCGGCACGGCGGCTAGCAACAGGACAGCTGCAGCAGCACTCGCCATTGTTGGCAAACGGGCGAGCGCTGCCGAAAAAGCAGGGCGAAGTCTGGGCGAAAGCTGGGCGTAGCGCGCACATGACAAATAAGCATCCCTTCCGATCCCCCCCCCCCCTTCCGCCGCGCCCCCGCCGCGCCGCCACGCCGCGCTGCAGCCCACTCGATGATGGGGTGGCAGATTGAGATTTCGCCTCGTGAGCGGCGTGGCTGCGTGGCTGGCGTCTGTTCGCCGAAACGCGGAAGGGGAGGCGAGGGAGGCGAGGGAGGCGAGGCGGGCTGAGGCGGGCTCGACTCGCACGCTGCGCCGCGCTGCCGCGCATGTTGCTCGCGTCCGCGTACCCCCTTCCCCGGCAGACCGACTCCGAGAGTCCTTTTCTGTCTCTCTCGCACCTCTCAGGCGCCCCGTGTGGATGTGAGAGGTACAAAAGGACTCTCAGAATGAGTCCGCAGCAGCAGCCGCGCTCCGCTCCAGACCCATCACGCTATCGTCATCGTCTGCGGAGGGAAGCCGCTGCCGCCTCTGCTCAACGCACCGCACCGCGGCGCGCAGCGAAGGCTCAGCCTAATTGGCCCGCTCGGGAGCCACGGCTACGCGCCTCGAGGGCGGCGCGCGGCGCACGGCCGGCACGGCGTGCTGGGTGCACGAAGGGCCGAGGGTCCGTGGGCCCGTGGGGGATGCAGCCCTGGCTAGCCCCGCCTGCCCGTCCTGACCACGCCGCGCCTGTGGGGGCTGTGGGGCCCCGTCCGTCTCCCCTGTCCCCGCCCCGGACGGCCCCTTGTCAATCCGTGCACCACAATGACCTCTCTCTCTCTCTCTCTCTCTCTCTCTCTCTCTCTCTCTCTCACGCAGAGGGATACACTGCCGGAGGGTCCTTGGCAGACCGTCACTTTCCTCACAGTGGCGACGACGAAGCCCCGCGAAGCCCCGTCCGAGAATAGGGTCTTTCTGATGCCCTTGAAGATTTGTACTTCAGTGTTGGTCCACCCCGCTCCGCCCGAGAGCAACCCGTGAATGACTTTCAGATTGGGGGCACACGGCGACGCAGTGGCAGATTTCGCCAACCGACGCTCATTGGTTTGGACAATCCTTCTGCGGGAGCGCACGCCACGGGTCCCTTTTCCTGTTGACTTCTGCGGCCTGGGGCTAAAAAAGCACTGGACGGGTCCTGGCGTTGCAATTTACAGAGGGCACAGAGCCGACTGTAGTGTATATAATGTATGACTGCTAATAGAGAGTTGCATCTGCCAATAGAGAGTTTAGTCCTGTATATAAATCACTCTGTAAATAATGAATCAGCTGTAACCTGTCACTTGACGACTGAGCGGCCTGTGGAATAGACATGGAAAACTAAGTCTCGATCTTTTATTGAAGCCTCGCCCTAACCTATTGACGACGCCACGTGGAACATTACACCGACGAGCCGCTGGCAGCCGCTGGTCGAAAAGAGAGGGAACCAACCTGAAGCCCGAAGGCAACTGCATCGACGAGTAGTGGCTCTCGGTCATGTACTGCGTCGCCATGGTTACGAGCCCCGTGGCCACCTGCCAACAGAAAACGTGTGAGTTTGAGCGAGCGCGGCGGCACGGCGGGGCGGGGCGCGGGGTAGCAGGCCACCAAGTCCATCGGGCAGCCGGCAGCGCCCGGCAACCCCTAAGCCGCCGCAACGGTCCGTACGCAAGGGAAGGGAAGGGAAGAGAGGGATGAGTCCCCACTGCCGACCCGACGCAGAGTGCAGAGTGAACCTGCACGCAGAGGAAAGCCTGTTTGGCTGCTTCCCCTCAAACCGCAAACCTAGAACCGAACTGCAGACCGATTCCGCACAGCGCTTACTCTATCTCTGTCGCACTCATGGGGCGTCCCGTGCGGAGGCGAGGGAGACAGAGTAACGCACCTCGGCGGGTTCATAGGAGCTAGGCCCGGCTGGGCCTTGGGGTCAGTTGGAGAAGACAAGCACAGGGCGAGAGAAGTACACCCTTGTGGAGTCAAACCTCGGCCAGTTATGTCGACTCAACATAAAAATCTGAGTGTGAAACCTTGCCCGACGGATGCCTTCGAGATGCCTCCTGTGCGTCACAGGGGTGTTTACTTTTCTCAGCCTGTACTTTTATTCCTCAGCTTACCGCAGCCAGTAGCCTGCTTTAGCCTCGGCTTCAGCCGGCCAGCGTAACGGGGTAGTGGGCGAGTAGGTTGTCCGGGAGTTTAGTCCCGGCCGAACAACCCCGCTGATGGAATGTGACCCTCGAAACTTGGCGAAAACTAGGCGGCAGTTCGCGACGGCGGCGAGCGTGCGTCTCGACTCGACCGCCCCGCCGACCCGCCCCGCCGACCCACGCAGCATTGTCGCACCCTCTCCCCCTCCCTCTCCAACAGCTGATGGGGACGTCGATCGGAGATTGGCCCGGCCCGGCCGGTGCGGCGGCGGCGGCGGCGGCGGCCCGCCCCGGGGTCGCGCGGGGCACGCGCCTGCAGACCGACAGTCGTTCTCGTCGCTCTGCCTCTCTCGCGCCGTGAGCAGAGAGCTCACAGAGCAGCTCGGGGGAGACAGAGCGACGACAGCCATCCGATTCCGAACACTGCTTCGTGGCTCTGTCTCTCCCGCACCCCTTCGGACCGCCCCATGAGTGCGGGAGAGACAGAGCGACGAAAGCAGTGCTCGGAATCGGACGGCAGACTCTCGGCACGCGACGGCTGCCCGAGGCTACACCGGCCATGCCGAGGTGTCTTCGCCGCGTCTTCCCTCAAACAGCAAACCGCGCAAACAGCAGGCCGATTCAGAGGGTCGTTTTCGCCGCTCTGTCTCTCTCGCACTCACGTGGCTTATGGTTGCGAGAGAGACAGAGCGATGGAAACATCTGCAGCAGCACCGCCACCGCCGCGGTAACACGGTAATTGGTGTTCCTGGATGCGGACGGGTGCGCGAGGCGAGGCAGAGCGAGGCAGCGAGAGGCAGTCGCGGCGTCGAAACAGCATTGAGCAGCGATTCGATTAGGTGTCCTCAAATCGCTGGCCTCGTTTTGCGACCCAGTTGCCCACTCAGGAAGGGCCCGCCCCGCCCCCCCGCCCCGCCCCGCCCCGCCCCGCCCCGCCCCGCCCCGCCCCGCCCCGCCCCGATGTTTCTGCCGAAGCCATCGACAATCAGCGCGCCGCAACGAATAAAGCAGAGCGCAGCGTCGCCACCGCAAAGGGCCCGCAGGCTGCTTGCAAACAGCGCTCTCTCTGTCTCTGTCTCTTTCTCTCTCTGTCTCTCTCTCCCTCGCACCCAGCGGCTCGCCGTGGGGGCGCGAGAGGGACGGAACGATGCGCCGCCCTTCGGCTGCCGGGCCGTGGTGCCGGGCCGTGGTGCCGGGCCGTGGTGGCGGGATGCGGGATTCATCAGCACCCGGCCGAGCCCTCCGACGAGCCCTCGGGGCGCGGCACGGCCAGGCACGGCCGGCGGGGTGTCGCGGCGTGGCGTGTCGCGGCGAGTTTTGCGGGATTTTGCGGGAGGCGAGACAGGCGGCGCGCGGCGAGGCGAGCCTTTAGGCCTCCAGGCTCGCCGCGACGGGGTGATTACTTACTCCGCACAACCCGGCACTGCCCGCGGGGGGCGCCGGGACACACGACAGCTGGAATGGGGCTACAGCCACGCTCCCCTGGCCCCGAACAAACCGCGAGCAGAAGCAAGCGAGGCGCCGACACAGACTGCGCGGGGATCGCAGTGGCGGCGCCAACCCCTGAAGAAAGGCGGCTTCTGATTGGCCCACGCCGACTGCCGGAGCGTATGTTTGTCTCGAGAGACCGAAGTGGATCCAGCGAGACTGATCGGGGACCGGGGACTCAGATCAGAAAGCAGCGGGAAGCGAAGGGGTTTTTGAAGCGACGCACGCCGGCTAATGAGTCCTTCCGCGCAGCGACAGTCGTCGGTTCGCTTCCCCAGTAGGTGCGAGAGAGACAGAGCGACGGGAATGACTCTCCGAATGAGTCTGCAGGCGCCAAGGAAACCTGATCAGTCTCGGCATGAAGCCACACCCGGGAGAGCGACTACGCCTGACTCGTAACCCGTCTAATTTTCATGGAGGAAAGAAGAGGGGGGGGGAGGCTGAAGGCTAGCAGTGGGGGGGCTCAACCCGCAGCCCGCCGCGCCGGGCCGGGCCGGCGCGGCGCCCCCCGCGCCCCCACGCCCCTTGAACCTGCTCGCCGGGCCCGTCGGGCTCCAATCATTCGGGGAAACTCGCTCACAAAGGAACTCATTTACGCGTCGGGCCGAGTGAGAAGTAGGCGTGGGGGACGGGGGGGGGGGGGGGGAAGGTGAGCGCCGTGACTGCTTCAAGACGAATGGAGCGCGAGGGGGGGGGGGGCTAAGTCACAATCGCTGGCGTGGCGCGCCGTGTTCTTCGCGCCATTACGGACTCGGGCGTTCCGGACGGCACGCGACACCCTCACACACACAACAAACACGGCCCTTCTCTCTCGCGTGGTTGCACACACACACACACACACACACACACACACACACGTGAAAGAACCCAGAGGAGCCTGGCGTCACAGATTTGCATTGTCGGGGCCGTGCAGGGCGCCGTGCAGGACGCTGCTTCCGCTGCTTCCGCCTCACCCCGGGGCGCCGCCACCCCGTTCTGTGGTGCGAGCGAGAGGTGACGATGAGGATGATGGGCCGGCGCGGCCCGGCGTCCGAGAGGTGCCTGCAGCAGCCTGCACGACAAGAGCAGTTTTAACGAGGTTCCAGCGCCGCCGCGCCCCCTGCCGTGCCGCCCGGCCGCTCGGTCCACGGCTCTGCCGCCAAGTGCTCTCACGCTTCGCGCGCACACTCGTGGACTCGTGCAACGCTCGCGAAGCGCTGTTCCATAAATTGACAAGGACTTTGGCTGCATTCAAGTTGCCAAGAATTCAGTTCGTCCTGAAGGCGAACGCATTGGGTTTGCGTCATTACGAATAGCCCGCAACTTGGCGCACGCAGTTGCTCGTGACGCGAGCCAAATTCTGTTTGCATGACGGAACTCAATTGGCTGCAACTTGAAGGCAGGCGAACGCTTGACACGGTTTCCGGAGCTTAATACGCACATTTCCGAGGCAGCCGCCGAGGCGGGGGCGGCGGGGGCGACGGGGCGCGAATGACTCTGGCTGCCCAATCTGGACGCGCTGCGCGGCGCTGCGCCACGCCATTATAACAGAAAGCTTGAGCGGATAACTAGCGCAGTGCGTCAAGCAGCGGAATGAGAGTCGAACATTCGTCTCTCTGTCTCTCTCGCACCCATAAGAACGCCCCGTGAGGCGCGTCACAGCCGTGTCTCACTCTTGCGCTCCTCCGGTCTCGCTGTCTCGCCGCTCTTCTCCTCTCGGGCCGGCTGCACTGAATTGCACTACATTCGCAATGGACCCGTAATCCATTAGTGCAAGGCGTACGGCCAGGGCGGGGCGTCGCGCAGGTGGGGGGCATCGCGTGATGAGCGCGGGACAGCGAGGTCGTCTTCGTCGCTCTGTCCTTCTCGCTCCCCTAGGGAACGCCCCGCGAGAGAGACGGGCAGACGAAAACGACTCAGTCTGCAGGAGCAGGGGCGCCGGCATTCTTGTCGCCTCGAGACGGACTGGGGAAGACCACGCTCTTGTCTGTCTTCGAGGCGACGCTGCGCGCTGCAGGAGGGAACGAACGCCACGCGCAGTGGGCCAGAAGACCGGTGGAGGCACTCACTCAAAATCCCGGACGCGCTTTGAGCTGCAGAGTCGCTAAATGGCACTCGAACCGAACGTGTGACCCTACCAACGGATCGCCCTCGGAACGGAGACCACACGCTCGGGTCGCGTCCCATTTAGCGACTCTGGAGCTCGAAACGCGTTTAGCGTATCGGCCGCCGGCGTCGGTCTTCTGTCCCATTGTGCGGCCACGCCACCTTTCGGAAAGGACCTCGAATGCAGCGGTCCAGCAAATGAAATGAACAGGGCGCCAGCAGAGCAGCGGCGCGACCAAAAAGGGCCGAGCGGCAGAGGACTGGGCCCCATCCCCGCCCCGCCCCGCCCCCACCCCGCCCCGCCCCGCCCACGCCATGCACTGCTGCATCGCAACGTGCTTTCGTTGTCTCCACAGCCACGTGGCCAACGTGACGTGATGCCAATCCAATTTGCATCGCGTCGGCGCGTCAGCCCGTCAGAGCGTCACGGCGGCAGTGAGGGAGGGCGACTTGCATTTCCGAGGCGCGATGGCGATACAGGGGCATATATCTCCGCGCCGAACTCAGGGTTTGAAAGCCCCGGCCGAGCCGACCTCGTCGCTGGCGCTCCTCCTGCCTCGGTTGGTACCACTGACAGGAGATGGAAGGGTCCACGGCCGTTACACTTCCCGTCCCGGAGGAGGTTAGGCTGCGCCAAGGCTGCGCCAAGCCGCGCCGCCCTGCCGCCGTGTCCTTCCACGCCACTCCAAACTGGCTGGGGGCGGCCATGGCAACGGAGACACTACACCAGGCGGGACACACTGCGACCATCATTGCTCGCGAGCTTCCGGAAGGAGTTGAGGGCGAATCGGATCACGATCGGCCTTAGGGCTGGTCCA